GTCAACAAAGTATTATGTATATATGCATACACATACAGCTTTATCACATTGATATGAAAATCTTTGCGATGTAGAATTAAGCATTATCACACGAGAGGTTGTGATGTATGAATATCAGCATGGCTGTGATTCAGCCATAGGTACGAGGCCACAGGCCAAGTATTGAAGACAATCAACACTGGAACACTATCCATTAAAGTTGTGTGTGATTACTTTGACGTGAGGAATTGGTTGTCATTGGTTATTTCAGTAAGATGGATATATCAGAGTCATAATTATGGCAAGCAATCAGACCAGATCTCATCCTTTTCTTTTTCTTATAAGGAAGTAGAGAGAAACTGTCCAAGAAAGAACCAGAGTACAGATGATGATGAATAGAAAATTAAATCAATTGTGACTCATATTTTTTGTTTTGGCTGAAAGCTGAAAGGAGGGAAGTTGTAAATGTGTCTCTCTGTCTCTCTGTCTGTCTGAATGTTAAGTAGCACAGCAGCCTGCTCCACATTAGTCCCTCTGTATTTGGGTCTATTTCTGCCAGAGATGAGTCCTTCTGGCCCACATTGTCAACTGGAGCATCACTTCATCACTTCAGCTTCCATCATGTTTACATCCTCAGACCTTCAGCTGAATCAGAAAGTCACAGTCGAAGAATTCAATCCCTGAGTGGCCTGTGGCTTCAGGGTTTTTGCTCAGGAGTGCTGTGAGAGGATGTAGATGGACAACATGATGCTGCAGGGGTTGAAGCACTAGGCTGAATGTGTGTGTGTGGTCACCTGAAGGGATGAGAAGGGAAGTTTTGAAGTCTGGAATTTGGATTTTCTGCTAAGCACCATCTTTGTCTGCCCATTTTATCATGTAAAAACCACAAAGTAAAACTACGATGGCTAAATCTGTCCAATCATTTTGAGCCTCTCATACAATAACACATACAGTGGGGTCAAAAAGTCAGTGTATTTTTCAGCAACAGCTGCTGGAAACAAAGATGAAAAGTGCAAAGTGGAGGATAAATCCATAGGATAACTGTGGTGTTACCCACTGTGTAGATTAAATGAGATGAGAAGAAATGAAGTGAGATGAGGTCAGGAATGAAGAACGGAAACAAAGTGACATGAGATAAGAGAGGAGGAAAGAAAAGATGACAGGAGATTAGAGAAAGTTACATGAGATAGGATGAGAGGTGAGGTGAGATAGGAGTGATGAGAATATGAGAAAGTGATATAAGAAAAAGTTAATTTGGGAAATCAGAAAACATTAGAAAAGATTAAATGAGATAAGGGAAAATAGGTTAAGAGATTAAATGAGATAAGGTGAGGAAAGATGAGATAAGATTAGAGAAGATAAGATGGTGAAGATGATAGGGTAACTTGAGAAAAATAAGATGAGGGGAGATGAGATAAAATAATATGAGATGAGTTAACAGGAGAGGAGATGACATAAAATGAGATGAAATAAATTCTTAGCAGAGGAGATAAGGTGAGTTTGGAGAGGGTGACTTAAGAGATAACATTAGAAGAGATGGTATAGAATGATAGAAGAGAAATGATGATAGGTGAGAAAAAATAGATGAAGAGGATGATGACATGATAAGGGGGTTAAAGAAGATAAGTTGATAAATGAAATGAGATAAGGTGAGGAGAGATGAGCTACAATTATATAAGATAAGACACGAGAAGATGATATAAAATGAGATAAACTGAGACAAAAGGAGATGAGCTGAGATGAAATAAGATGAGGAGAGATGAGATAGAATAATACATGAGTTAACGGGAGAGGAGATAAAATAAAATTAGAGCAGAGGAGATAAGATGAGTTTGGAAAGGGTGATTTGAGAGATGAATTAAGAAAAGATAAGGATAGATTAAATGAAAACATGAGAGGAGATAATGAGAGATAGGGGAGGAGGTGAGCTAACAGGTTAGATAAGATGCGAAGAGATCAATAAAGGAGGGGAGATTAGAATAAATAAAGTGAAGTTGGATCAAATGACATAAGATTAGAGAAGATTGGGTGAGATGAGATAAATTGAGATGATGAGAAACAATGAGATGATATATGAGGGGAGGCTATGAGATAAGGTGACGTTAGATGAGATGAATGAAAATGAAATTAGAATTCAGACAAATTGAGAAACGAAAAGATGAGACATGAGATTAGTTGAGATTAGAGATGTGATCAAATGAAATGAGAAAAAATGGATGATAAAGTGAGGGGAGAAGAGAAAGATGGGAAATGGTATTAGATAAGATAAAATTAGAATGAGGGATGAACTCTGGGACGCATCATCAGTGTTATGAACCCGAGGTCATCAGGCGTTTTGGGTCTTACAACATACGCCCTCGCCCAGGCAACCCGGCCGGGGCTGATCAGACCCCGACTTGCATCCCAGCAGCTACCCACGGATCAACCCTTTTCAACCAAGGCCACCTAGTGGCTTTCTCTGCGGCTTCACTGGCAGATTTTATAGCCCTCTTCTTTTCTGCTCCTGTGATGCCTAGCCGAGTGAGGACCTTGCAGAATGAGTACCCTGCGAATCCTCTGCAGCCGACCTCTATGGGCTCATAGAAAGTTTTCCAGCCTCTCCCCCTTGACTGCTCCACTAGTTCCTGGTACTTAGCACGTTTCCTCTCGTTGGCTTCATCTATGCGCTCTTCCCAGGGCACTGTTAATTCCAGCATGATCAGGTGTTTCGTAGCCTCAGAGGTGATGATCATGTCCGGACGGAGCAAGGTTGTTGCAATATTTTGTGGGAATATCAGCCGCTTTCCCAAATCAGCCTGCAACTGCCAATCACGGGCTGTATGGAGGAGGCCTGTTGTTTGTCTTGACCGAGGCTGTGGTTTCTCCCCAGCTTTGATGAAGGTGACTCCGTTTTTTGGTGGGCGGTGATATTTGCCGGTGTTAATGGCTGACGCTACACTCTCTGTAACTGCCATGAGCACCTGGTTGTGTCGCCAACGATAGCGGCCATCTGCCAGGGCCTTTGGGCAGCCGCTGAGGAGATGTTCCAGTGAGCCTCTTCCAGAGCAAAGCGGGCATGAGGGTGTATCACTCTTTCCCCAGACATGGAGGTTTGCTGGGCTTGGCAGGGCATCATAAACTGCCTGCACCAGGAACCGGACGCGACCAAAATACGCCTGCAAAATGTTAGACCAAGTGATCCTGTGCTGCAGGGTGCTCTCCCACCTGGTCCATGCTCCCTGCTGCCGGAGCCCTACTGCCTTGCTTACGCGCTCTTCTTCCACCCCTGCTCGGACCTCTTCCTGGAGAAGATGGTGTCTCTCCTTTCCCTAGGCATTGCTGAACCGGGTCCTTTGGAAGTAGCCCAAGCCTGCTCTGCCGGTCGCAATGTTGCCCACCAGCGCCTTCTGTCTCAGGCGTGACTCCGCCACCTCCACTTCCTTCTCTGCTCTCCATTTCCTTCCTGTCCTCACCTCAATGCCGGCCGCTGACACTTTAGCATCCCTGGAGTCCCTATACTGGAGAGCTTCCTGCGTGCGAGCCACAATGAACTCCTCCTTCAGGCCACTGAATGGTAGCTGCAAGGTGTTGCTCGTTCCATACAGGGCTGCGCTTGTTAGGCTGCGTGGAAAGCCCAGCCACTTCCGCAGAAAGCCGCTTATTTTCCTCTCCAGGGACTCGACTGTCGTCATTGGGACTGCGTAGACCAGCAGGGGCCACAAGACTCTGGGCAGGATGGAATGCTGGTAAATCCAGGCTTTGAATCGACCAGGAAGACCTGACCTGTCAACTTTGGTGAGCCATGTGCCAAGCTCTTCCACGAACTTCTGGATGGCGGAGGTGTCTTTCAGGCTTGCATCAAAGGTCTTCCCTAAGCTCTTGACTGGCTGCTCCGTGATGGATGGGATGACTGTTCCTGAGATGGCAAATCGGAATTTGTCAGTCGTCCTCCCCCTCTTCAAGACCATGGACCTTGACTTGGTGGGCTTGAAGCTCATCCTTGCCCAACTGATGAGCTTTTCAAGGCCTTGTAAGATCCACCTGCAGCCTGGGACTGATGTTGTAGTGATGGTGAGGTCATCCATGAAGGCTCTTATCGGTGGCTGTCATACTCCTGACTTGCTCAAGGGCCCTCTACATTCCACCTCAGCTGAATTGACTACCATGTTCATGGCAAGGGCGAAAAGGATAACAGAGATGGTGCAGCCTGTTATTATTCCTTTGCCAAGCCGGTGCCAGTCAGATGTTTCTGACCCAGAAGTGACCCTCAGCCTGAAATCGTTATAATAGTTCAGGATCAGATCCTTGATCTTTCTGGGAACGTGGTGGCGGTGCAGTGCTAGCTCGACCAGCTTGTGTGGTATTGAGCCATAAGCATTGGCCAAGTCCAACCACACTACAGCCAGGTCACCTCTGTTAAGTGGTAAGGTAAAATGAGGCTGGATTATATAAGAGGATGCCAAATAAAAGGACAGGAGATGAGGTGAGATGATATGAGAGATCATTTGAGATAAGATAAGAAGAGGTAAGTTGAGGTAAGAGGAGAGGAGATGAGAAAGGAGATGGTGTGCAATAAAAGTAGAGGAGATCTGATGAGAGCAGATATGATATAAAAGCAGTTTCATCAGAGAAGAAATACTAAAAACTAAATACAAAGTGTAAGATACAACATACAAGAAGTAAATATAGAAAGTGTTCTGTAATATCAAAGTGACCCACGAGTTGAACCTACATAAGAACACAGAAAAGCTCTGGAAGTGGTTTGGGGTGAGGAGGTAAAGTGTCCATTGACAGCAGCAGCAGCAGCAGATGTAGCTGCTGGAGCAGAAACTAAAACCCTGCACTTGAATAATAAATGTGAAAGTGTGTTTAGAGTGGACAGATAGTGATAATGGTTCAGTATCACTGATTCTAACTACCTGTCTTGTAAAAGCAAATGTTTGTGTGAGTGTGTGTGTGTGCGTGCGTGCATCCTGTGTTAACCTGACGTCTTAGTGTGTGTTTGCAGCATGATCCTGATGTGTGTGTTGTTGTTGTTCCAGAGCCACAGCTGAAGGGCATTGTGACACGTCTCTTCAGTGAGCAGGGTTTCTATCTGCAGATGCAGCCTGATGGAACCATCAGTGGAAACAAGGACGAGAACAGCGACTACAGTGAGTCTCTGCTGCTGCTTTTACTCCACTCTGTGAACATGCTAAAAGCCTGTGTACACGCTAACACCTTGTGTACATGCTAACAGCCTGTATACACACTAACACCCTGTGTACATGCTAACACCCTAACACCATAGCTGTGTCTCAGTTCAGGGGCCATATTCTTTGGAGGCTCCATTTGAAGACTGATAAGGTTGTCCCGTGCTGAAGGCTCACATCCCTCATTTCCCCATGCGTCCCTCATTTCCTGGACCTTTGCAGACCAAACTGTCCCAAGATTCATTGCATTCAGTATGAACCTCTTTTCAAAAAAGAGTATAGGGCGGACTATTAAATAAAACAGTGGCCGAGAATAAATATGAAATTCTCCGTGAAACAGACCATCTAATTTTGGTTTGGCTTTTGCAGTATATGCTCAAAACGCCATGCCTCTGTAAACCATGTCCATAGTGGTTCTCAAACTTTTTCACATAAAGCACCCCTAAAATGACACAAATTGGACCACGGACCCCCATCTGCTAAGATTTTTGCTTTTAAATGTTTTATCACAGTTTTAGAAAACTACATGACCAAAATATTCATACATTCCCCTCATTGTGTTACTTATGGATGAAAATAAATTGTTAGCTTTTTCGCTGGTGACCCCCAAGGAACACCCACAAGGACCCCTAACACACTGTGCTAGCACTGTAGCACCCCTCTGTACGTGCTGTGCGCATGCTAACATCCTAACACCATGTATACATGCTAACACTGTAGCAGCTTGTGTAGCATACAGCCTAATACCCTGTGTGCTTGCTAACACCCTGTGTACCTGCTAACACACTAGCACCATGTGTAGATGATTTATTTCTCTGTTCCTCTAAAATAGCTGTTACTCTCTGGTTCCACTCAACCTATACATCCCATTAGGAACCATACCTACAGTAATTTATTACGACCTGATTCAAGTGTGTGTGTTGCTAAGCATACTGTATAGAAAATCTATAGGTTACCTATATACACACAAGTTACTTTAAAATATGCTTAGCTCATATTAAGAAGCTTAGTCCTGGGAGGGAAACATATTTGACATATAAAAAGCTGTGAAATTTGTTATCATGACATGGGCCCCTGTAGTGTCTGTGTATATCATAGCAATGTGATAAATTTGAATTTAGATTAGGAACTGTAAGTTGACAATGAATGAATGTGACCTGACATTTGATACCAAGTGCTCATTTCAGTCAGGAGCAGAAAATATGGCTGTTTGATGACCAGCTGTAGATGGGGGTGGGGGGGGTGAGGTGGGGGGGGGGTCTCCTGGATCCTTCAGAGGAATTGGATGAGCTCAGGATTACAGATTCTGCTGCCTCCTTTAAATCCTCTCCTCTGGTTTGGAAAAGAGAAAAAGAGGACAAGAAGAGGAGGAGGCGATGTTTTGGATTTCCCTCACACTCTCACTCAGATCATCTCTGTCTCTGAGTTAAATAAAGGAGGATTAACAGCAGCCATCGCCACAGGCCTCTTACTCCTCCACCTCCTCCTCCTCACCCACACTGCAGCTCTCTGTCCCCGAGGATTAAATCACCTCTCATCACTTCACCCCCCCCCCCTTTTATTCAGTGTCTTTAATTCTCTCGGTTTATCTGCTGGAAGCACAGTGTCACATCCAGAAGGCTTTAACCACCGTTAAACACCAACAGGCTGAGTTTAAAGTGCTGCAGTGTGATGTTATTTTAAGCCCATGATAAATTTACTGTTGCTTTTACAATATGGCTTTTGTTTGAGTCATTTGAAGGAAAAGATTTTAACTTCTTTCACATTCATTATGCTGTAAATGAAGCTTTGTATTAAGGTGCATGTGACCTTTCTCTACATCTACAGTAACCAACACTCTCTCTCTCTCTCTTTGTGTCTATGTCTCTCGCCCTCCAGCTCTGTTTAACCTGATCCCAGTGGGTTTGAGGGTTGTGGCCATCCAGGGAGTGAAAGCTGGACTCTACGTGGCCATGAACGCAGAGGGATTCCTCTACACATCAGTAAGAAAACCCAAGTCTGAGTGCAGAACTGACTCTCTCTGACTGCTCAGGCTTGAATACACTCCAAAAAATTGACTGTTTGTTATGTAATGAATTTAAATAACATCTACTTGTTTAAAACTTTCTATGAACACCAGATAAAAATATTATTATTATTATTATTTAATTAATATTATTATATACACATATATATATATATATATATTGATCACTGTCTTGCTTTTAATTAAGGGGCTTTTACTATGAAGCAGTTTTAAAGCTTTTTCAGAAAAGGTCTTTTACTGTGAAGCAGACTGATGGAGTTTACTGTGAAGCAGACTGACTGATGGAGTTTACTATGTAGCAGATCAACAACTTTATTTTTCCAAAAAGTCCAGATGTCAAAGAGTTCAGATGATGATTAGATTTCAGAGGTGTGGTGGATGATATGATTCTACATTTTTACACTGCAGTATTATGATCCTGCTGAGCAACGTTTGCTGTTTCGTAAAAAACAAACACCACAAAGAGGCTGCAGCTCAAGCTTTAAGTTATCTCCTTATTTTCTCCATCATCACTGATCTAAGTCTACAGATGTGAAGTTACTGTCTTGCTCAAGGACACTCAGACAGAGTCACTGCTCACCTTCCTGGTAGTTATCTACCTGGTAGCAGTAAAAGAACCTGACTGAAGATATCGTAACTGCATGATCTTATCACAAAGTATTTTTGTCACATCACCTGACAGATCAAATTCTTCCCTTTGAGGAAAGATCCTGTGTTTTTGTTTTTAAGACACAAACCTTATAAAATTGATATTATGGTATAAAAAGATCAGACACTGTGTGTTAAAAAAAACTTGTTGGGCAGTTAAGAAAACAATAATAATAGTTAATGATGACAACAATGGACAGGGCAGGCTTGATCAATCTGCAGCGTTGACAGAGTGCAGCTACAGTTGTTGCATTGCTGTGTTTCCTCAGCAAGTCCATCCACCATCCATTATTCAAGTCTGCGCCTTCCATAAAACTTTAAAATGCAATTCTTCAGCTGCTGTGTGCACAGCATAAGAGAGGAGATGGAGTGATGGAGGCAGAGAGAGACGACATGGTTGAGACAGTAGATATGTGTTTTCTCTGAGTACAGTGAGCTGCACAGTTTATCTGTCAGAGGTGGAGGCTCTGTCCTGTTGAGCTGAGCATCAAAACATCATCATTTTAACAAAGATAAAATGACAGTTATCGGTTACAAATTCAATGACAACATATCCCAGGTGTAGCAAATCACCAGTCAAAGATCCAGGATTACCCTCAATGTGCAAACTTACAAAAAAAAAGTGCTGCTCCCCTTCCCACTTGACAAGATCTAGCCTTTATCAATAGTACAGACCCATGAAATTGACAGAAACTGTAGATACAACACAATAGCCTTCTGCCGTCAATAGAGAAAAAAATGAATGCAAACAGACATCAGATCCTTTATGTGACAGAATGCTGTTCTGAGATCAGAAGTAAGGACAGATATCACTTCACTTCGGTATGGTGATAACTGATATTTATTTACTTGATATCTATTTTTATCTTTAACTGAGAAAAACACTGCTTGCCTTGCTTGCCCCGATGGCACACCACTGGTTTGTGGCCATTTTTTCTTCTGATTGGTGACACTTACAGTATGTAGTTCTTATATGGAATTATAACAGAGGCTGATTTCAACTGTGTTACATATTTATGGTCTTTTGAGATGAATGCTCCTGTGCCATCAGCCTTCAGCACGAGTTGATCTTAAGATCAATAAATGAAAAGAAAACCTCATCGTATGCAGATGACACCTGCTTTATGTTCTAAACTTTCACTGCTGCATCTTTGGCAAATCAAGAGTTATCATACAAATTTAACTGCATAAAGTTGATTTCCATGTTACCCATGATCCCTCAGTGTTTTGACACATGAGTCAATATTGTCTAGTATAGGTCTTCACTTCTACTTTTTTGTTTCTGTACCTGTGCATGAGGACCAGTTCAAGTATTACTCTTACCGATACCAGGTGGAAATGTGAAGGCCAGTGATCAGACGTCATTATCCAGATACATATGAACCCAAAACCAAAAACCAGATGAAGGTGGAGTATGAGCTGTGATAAACAGAGTGAACTCCTTAAGATATGAACTCAGGTCTTCAGCTGCTGATGAAGATGGAGGGTTTCTCTTCTTCTTTGTCTGTGCAGCTACATAAAAACTTTCCAGCTTTTTTCCTCTCACAGAGCCGAGCTCCTTTGCTCAGACAGTTGAAAGTAAAGTTGTGGTGTGTGAGGCTCTGCTGTCTAAACACTGTTTATTTGAATTACAGTGTCTTGATATGTGATGCAGGCAGCCTGCTGAGAGGGGAATAAAAACAGCTTTCATCTTCTATTACCTGTTTCCTCAACCCTCCTCTCGTCCACCCTTTCCTTCTTTCTCCCCTCTCTCCTCTTCTTCGTCTACTTCTATTGGTTTGTGTGTCGTCATCAGTAATTATGTGTTTTTTCAGTTCAGTACTTTTTGCACAATCCTGCTGACAGACAAACAAACCAAAAGACCAGTGGTGGCAACCACTGTAATGCACCGGTGTCCAGTAGCTGTCAGGGGCCATTCACACTTTTGTGTTCCAAAACTGCATGTTTTATTAAAAAGACATATTGTTTCTACCCACCACTAATTTAATTTTGTTATTTACTTCTTAAAGTTATGAAGTAAGGTCTGCTGGGTCCCTTTCATTTGTGATAAGTTGTGTGTTTTCCTCAGCAAATAGATGATTCAGTTAGCAGCGTAATGTTTAAGTGTGATCAAAGACAGTGACAGCAACTTTGTTTTCAGCAAAAGAATTCATGTTTTAATATGGTCATTAATCAACACAATCCACAACTATTTTGACAATTGCCCTGCTAAGAAGGTTATGTTTTCACATGTGTTTGTTTGTTTGTTTGCTTGTTTGTTTGCCACAATGTTGTTACATTATCAGACAGTTTGAATTGAACAGACACCAGCTAATACTCTTCAGGTCAGCACCAATAGAAACATGAAATTGATGATAAAATACAAATGGAACTACGTGGTCTCTTTGATTGTCATAGTTGAGGAAGTGAAGTGGACGGAGGCCTGGAAGGACAAACTGAGGGACAGTTTGTAAAGGGAGAACTGCCTCCCCCTCCTAACTACGGGTGTTCAGTGTTAGAACAGGTGTTTGCTTTGTGTGTTTGTTCTGCTCTGATTGACTCTCTGCTCCTCCTCGACCACCTGTTTTATCTGGAGGACACACACACACACACACCAACATACACACCTCTTATATCTGGAGGGAGGTACAACATGTTAAACTGGGACTTTAAACTGTCCCAGCAGAGTCAGGTCATCAGTGCAGAGACACGATGAAGATGACTACAATCATGTAAATCATCTGATTTAGACATTCTGTTTTCTCTGTGTGCGTGTGTTTGTTGCATGTCAGGATGTGTTCACAGCAGAGTGTAAGTTTAAGGAGTCTGTGTTTGAGAACTACTACGTCATCTACTCGTCCACGCTGTACCGGCAGCATGAGTCTGGCCGGGCCTGGTTCCTGGGCCTCAACAAGGACGGAGTCATCATGAAGGGAAACCGAGTGAAGAAAACTAAACCCTGCTCACACTTCGTCCCCAGACCCATCGAAGGTGAGACCATCACACTTGTGCACCCCTGCTCCTCCAGATTCAGGTGTTTCAGTTTCAGCACAAAGAGGGGTCAGGTCTTGATCTGGTTTTTCTTTTACATTTATGGAAATAAAATTTAGCATTTAAGATAAGAAATTTTCTTTTTTTTCCATAAGAGATAACACTTCTATCTGAACCTGCCCTTCACACATATTCATTAACCTAAAATAATTAAGTAATAATAATTCTGTAACAACGTCACAGAAAAATGTCATTTTAAAAAAATATTTCTTTAAAAATTGGTTCGTTGGAGAAATTATTACATCATCTACACAAAATATACTGATGTTTTGGTGGAGAGAGGTGGTACCATATAAACTATACTTCTAGTAGAGTTTTAATCCTTTATATTTAAAATCAGTTAAAACAGTTTCTGTCTCAAACACTGACAGTACTTCAGACAAATCACGACATATAATGATTGCATCAATCTTCTGCAGGTACACAATACTTCATACCACCTCACGTTTATAAAATGCATTTAACTCCAGACACAGCCGTTGTCAGTTGCAGCCTCTCGAGCTCTTTTAGCATTAGTGGTTCAGCTCCATCAGTAAAAACATGTCACATACTGATTTCCACAGTCTGTGTTTGGAGAATGAAACTATCCTCGTCAGCATCAGGTCATTTCTGTTGAGACACGGTTGGTCATAAGTTTTAGAACACCAACTGAACATTTTTCCAGTTGTTATTGAAATGTACACAGGTTAATGTCTCAGTAAACAAGTACACAGGTTAAAACAAGGAGTCCTTGAATCTTCTTGTTGAACTCCTCCGGCAGCTGAACTTACTCTGACGTTCTCTCTACAATGGAAATTAAAGATTATTCAGTTCATCCCAAAGCAGCTCCATGTACTTCAGGTCTGGAGACTGTGCTGGCCTTCAGTATGTGAAGCCTCTGTCTTGTTCTGGCCCTGATCAACCAGTCTGTCATAATTTACTTATTTAATTTGCCTCCACTGCTGTAGACAAGCAGTAAGTTAATTCATTACTTGATCCCTGAAAAGTTTATATCTCTAAAATCCTGAACTCATAGTGGAGCTGAACTAAATCAGCTGACCACAGGGGGTCCGGTGACAGCTTGTTAGTTAAAGGACACAACATGTCAGTGAGACAGGTTACAGGGTCAGGAGCTCAGAGGAAGTGGAGGTGGAGGTGAAGGTTGGGGCAGAGGTTGTCCTGCAGGAACTCCCTCTGAGTCTGAGGACAAGGTGAAGCTCTAATATCACACATGGAGGTTTAATAGGAAATGTGAAGCTCTGTCTCTGCTTTCAGCTGCTCTGTCTGTCCTCCAACCCCCCCCCCCATCTTCATTTGTCAACTATCACCTTCCACCTCTCCCTCTGTCCATCTTCTCCTCTTCCTCTCCAGAACACGTCCTTCAGGTTAGACCCATCACACTCCTCCCATCTTTATTTTTCCCTCCTTTTCTCCCCCTCTACCCCTTCCTCACCCCTCAACTCTGTTCTCCTTTTAACTCCCTCCTTCCCTTTCCTTGTCCCTCCTGTATATCACATACCTGCACATATTTGTATATCTCATACATGTGCATACACAACTGTATATTAGATATGGAGGACTGAAACTGCCAAAATCAAAAATAAATGACTTTAATATGCCATTTAAGTAATAAATTGTGACATAAACTGATAAATCTTTTTGCTTCTGGATTTATTTACCTTTGTAGGCCTATTATTTAACTTCACTTTTTAAGTTTAATTTCTTTATTTACTTTCCCATTTAAATTTCTTTTTTTTTATTTGTTATTTATTGTTTTCCCCTTGCACCCCCTATTATTTCCCAGAAACCTATTTATTTTTGTATTTTCATTTTGCATTTCTTAAAGCATTTCTGCTTCATTAAGCAAATTAGGGTGCTGTCATTCACTGACATATTAAATATTAATATATTTTACACACCTGTACATTCATTTTTGTAAATAACATATTATTGTGTTACACATACATACACTCATATCACCTACCTGTGCATTTCTTTACATCCTGTCCATTCATATTACCAATACTCATCTATGCAACTTAACATATACAAGGCATCCGTTACAGTATGTGCTACTACCAGTATAGAGCATGTACCAGGCCATATATATTCACAGTTATATTCTGCTCTTTGTTTTTGTTTAATTCAGTTCCTACTTAATGATTTCTGCCGATTATTACTGATGTTTCCTGTCGTTTTATTTTGACCTCTCTGACTGTTCGTACGTGCTGTTTTCAGTGACAACACAATATCCCACTGTGGTTAATAACATATGCTTTTTCTCCCCCCTTCCTCCCCCCTGCAGTCTGTATGTATAAGGAGCCGTCGCTGCACGAGCTCGAGGAGAAGCTGCAGAAATCCTCGCGGAGCCCGACGATGAACAGCGAGGAGCGGGGAGGGAGCCTGGAGGGTCAGCAGCAGCAGCAGGAGGACTCCACAGTGCAGGACGGGTCATAGCCTGCAGCGCCCCCCACAGGAGGAGGAGGAGGAGGAGGAGGAGGAGGAGGCGAACTCCCATTTTAACACTCCCTCTGTTCAGCAACAACAGCAACTACAACCACACCAACTACAACAACCGCCACGACGACGACGACGACGGCGACAACAACGAAAACAACGAAAAAAAGAAGCTTAAAAAAAAAAAAAAAAAAAAAAAACGGGAAAAAATCTTCTTGCTTGTGATGAAATATTTTAAATCAAAAGGGGGAGGGGCTTGTTTGAAAACGAGAAAAATCAGGACGTTGATGATGATGATTTACATTTTATGCAAAAAGCCCTGCTGAAACGGTGCCAGGAGGCTAGCACACCTACTCTTCATTGCCACATTGTAATCATCATCATCACCACCATCATCATTTCTGTCACTATGATGATAAAATGTTTTCCGAGTCGAGCGAGCGCTGAGAACTCCAAAGCTTTAAGCCATGTAGAATCTTCACTTCCTTTCATTTCTTACTTAATGAATGCAAAAACTTTCGCACTTTCGACACGTTGCGCTTCTTCTTCCTCTTCTTTTCCGTGTTCTGTCCGATCAGAAAGATGAGATTTTTCTGTTGTGTGTTCTTCAGCTGCCACATCCTGTTTTTTTTTTGTCTTTTTGTTCTGTTTTCTTGGGTCGGGGAGTTGCGAGTTTTGTTGCAGACACTGCCGATAACAAGGGTCAGAGGGGAATGAGCACTGAAAGACTTCCTGCTCTATTTCCTGTGGAGGTAGGTCATGTGATCTGGTTCATGATAGCAGATCCAGATACAGATTTCTGACAGTTTGTGGAGAGCACTGGTGTTTTACTAGAGATCACATGACCTTCACGGTCCTGCAGATCATTTTACCAGACCTCCCATCAGTTTTCACAAATAATTTCATTCCCTCCAAGCAGCAGCTGTTTTCACTTCCTGTCTGTGAATGTCTATGAAATCAGCTGCAGAGAGATGATCCAGGTCTGGTTTTAAAGTAAGTGGCTGGAAACAGGGAAGTCAGGGGAACAGAAATACCACACATCAACACACAACCACAAGAAACCCAACACAGGCTGCAGTCAAAAAGTCAAAATAATCTCCTTCATAACCACTTCTCCTCGAGCTCGATGGAAAATGACATGATGTCAAAGATATGAAGGAGAATTCATAAGGACTTAGGAAACAAACCTGACTGCACTTATACTAAGCTTTTGTTTTGAACTAACTGGGACGATAAATCCTCCTTTCCTAATCACAAGAACAAAACAAACAGGATTGAAACGTTGAAATAAGATAACGGAAGAAAGTTGAGCCATTGAAATAATAATCAAATAGAAATAAGGAGCTGAGCAACAGATCAGAATAAATTATTTTCATATAATGTAGAGTTTCCTCTCAGGCGCTTTTTCATTTTTTGACTGCTCACTGGATTTAAAGAGAAGAAATCTATATTTATGGATTTGGGCTTCAGTGGATCAGATAAGTATTTCCATCAGTTCTGGATCTTGTCACAAACATAAAACAGCAGCTCTGTTTCTTTACTCTTTTATTCACATTTATGTGGGTGTGTTGAGGTGAAACTACAATGGTGCATCGCTTTAAGTGTTGCTGCGGCAAGGAATTGTGGGACAGCATTTCTCCTTTCCTTTCATAAAGGAAGGTCCAGTGTTTCCTATGCTAAAGGAGAAAAGATAGGAAGCACTGAAGCTCCTTTCCTCATCATTTACATAATTGGAACAGCTGGGATCTTTTCAACCACAGCCTCAGAGCAGCCTGTAGCCTGAGAGGCAAAACACAGGGCAAAATCAGCAAAGTATTTTGTGCTGCTCTTAAAGCTGTGATCAGATGGAAGCCACTCTCATCTGGACGATACAGTAACAGGCTCTAACTGAGTCATGTGGTGGTGTCTCACTTCATGACGCCTGTAGTTCACAGCACAGGCATCAAGACAGCACCAGTGTTCAAACTCACATTCAGGGGAATGGGTGCACACGCTGCCAGCACCAAATACTTTGCCCTTAAACAGACACTGTTTAGAGAGATGTTCATGTGACTCCATCACATTCACTTTATTTTTGTTTTCTTCATGCAGTGACAGAAGCTGAGAGCAGACACCAGTTTAAACACCCAACAGATAAACAGTCCAGCAAACAACTGACATCTGGTGTCTAAGGCTATGTGAATGCAGCAGTTTGTAGAACCGTGACTGTTCTTACAACACAGCACATGACCACAGTGACATGACTGTGAAGTAAGCGCTATCCGTGAAAGTTTTGTCATCTCCCTGCAGTAGGATTTTCACAGACAGGAAGTGAAACCAAGTGGAGGGAAGGAACTGGATCTGAGAACTGATGATTTAGAAAACGATCAGCAGGACAGTGAAGTACACAGAACTGAAACCTCTGTATGATCTTTAAATAACCAACAGAGTGACAAACTTGCTCCTGTTTCTGTCTTTGTGCTGCATTCAGGGTCTGATCAGATGAAAACTTTTAGTGTTGAGAAGTTGCAGGCAGAAATATTGCATGATGTATTTTCCCAAAGCCTGGCAACGCCCCCACATGCGTTTGGGGGATTTAAATGATTTATAGAAACACTAACAGCTGTGTTGTGTAACTCTGATCTGGTCTGAACAGGACTGAGTCGACTCAGTTACCTGCCCTGTCCAGGCACACTGTGATGCGATGTGATGTGATACAACTGAGGATGTTCTTGTGTTGACCAATGACACAGTATGTATGAATGTATGAATCACGCACTTCTGATCACGGTTGTGTGTTTTGTTTTCAGCCCAGCAGACTGGACCTGTGGTCATGATGCAGTCGGTCTCACTGAGATCTGATTGGTGCATTTAGAAAGAAGGAGCAACATGTGAACAGCGTGTTAAAATAATAAGGAAACGCCCTCTAAAGCTCATGTGAAAGAGGCCAGGCTTATGATATTTATGATCACCTGATGATGTTATCAGCGGGCTCGCTCCTGCTCCTGCTGATTGATTCTTCTTAGGCACCTGGACTCACACAAAAGTATGTTTCTTTAAATCTTCACATGAATCAAAAGCAGGATTTTTTCCTACTTAGGCTGGAATGAAAAAATGCAGTTTGAGTTTGAAAGTGATTTTTGATTATCGTTACTGATTATTGGCTCTTCTGAATACGAATATAAAGGCTGTTTTCTTTTACTGTGTTGTTGAAGTTTGAGGCCGACAGACAGGTGAGCCAGGTGAGTGTTATACAGATAGTGGGGTCCAGAGGTCTCAGACTTGTGGACCCCACTGTACATGTTAATCATAATCAATTCAAAAGGCTGTGAACCTCCTAATCATGGTGCGTTCAATAAACCTGGTAATTCTTGGCCTCTAAGTTGCAGCAGGAGGGAGTGGTGATGCCACATGTTTGATGTCTGTGTCCTCCAGGACTCGTGACTTTAATTCACATGTAGAAGAAATATTGAACTGTTAAAGCAGATTGAATGGAGCTGCTGACTGACACATTTCAGGGAGATTTCATTTGAATAAAGTGTGTAAAATGTCTAGTTCAGTCAGGTCTGACATCACTGTCCTCCCCAGGTCACAGCTCCTGGTCTTCATGGTAATGTTTACAGTGATGTGTTCAGGTGTCGGCCGATGGGAGGATGTGGTAACAAGTTTAACACTGCCCTGCTTCGTTAAGACGAAAAGCACTGCCCTGAAAACTGAAAGCTGTATCATTCTGAGCTCATCTGAACATCATGAACTCCACATCTGAAAAAAAAAACATAAAACAACTTCCTGCTGTTGGGTGAAGAACCTTCCAAAACAAATGTGATGCCTGTTAAATAACTTAAAGGAATTTTGTTGTTGTTCTGTAGACACTATTCCTCCAAAAATTTGCTACAGATTTTCTTCCCTTGTAGGAAATAATGAAAACGGTTCTGCAGGCCTTTGACTGGAAAATAAAACCTCAAACCAACGTGACATTTTGTTGGCTTGTCACCCAGCAGCAGCTGGGTCAGGAAAGATTGTCGTATCATGTTATTTTCCTTAAACACACAAAAGGCTTCTCTGCTCATCATTTTACTTCCTGCCTTGCAGTTACTGGTTTCAGTTCATTCTAAATGCACTAATACATGAAAAAACAGCAGTATAACACACTGCGTTTCCTATGCTGCACAGGGGTCATGAAAAGTAGGTTGTTTTTTTTTTCAGAGTGTAAAACAGACGTTCAGACTGAGTCGCTGCACTGCCGCGTCCAACCTTTACTACATTTCTTCTTCTGGTACTCAGACCCTTTACTCCTCTCAGACGTTACCGACGAGGTTTCCCAAAAACATCTTCACCATTTCTCGGTTTACAAAGATCAACAGGTCAGCAGGCATTTTCAGAGTCCTTCAAAATAATAACAATAACCCCTGTTTGCTTCTCTAGAAGGTCGATATGGAAGATAATTTGTGCCAGATTTTTAATTTCTTCACAGAGGATTTGTCATTACAGTCTGTGTTATCTCATGGTAATCCTGTCTAAATTTCCTTAGGGTTAGGGTTAGGCTATATATTTAGCATTTTTGACATGAAAGTCAGACCTTTATGAGGTCATGAATTTGATGAATTACAAAAACTTCCATTAATAACATGAGTGCAGTTGACAGTGTGCAGGATTTGTGACATGAAAAGAAGAAGAAAAAAGAAGAACTTTGAATGTTACTGAGATTTGAAATGATCTCACATCTGTGAAACCAGTTAGAGGCGATAATAAAATACAAATAATAAAACATTCTAAACACAACATATACTAAATATTTAGCTGATGATTTAGCTTATGGCCAAGATTAAGATTTAAAATGATCTTCTCAAATAGTATTTCCAAGGTCGAGAACATTCACGCTCAGATTTGAATTGGTGCCATCATTAGGGATGAAAACAGGTTTTAGCTGCTAATTAAAGGACAAATGTGTTAATGAGTAACATGAAACATTGCAGCCTAGAGATTGAATTAATGTAAAGATAATTTTTGGGAAACTCAGTCGCCTCCTATCAGCCGACATCAGTTAACGTCAAGTGAC